CCGTGCTGGCGACCAGCGCGGGTCGGGGGGGTCCGAGGCCCCCACACGTCCGCGCCCAGAGGACACGGCAGGGGAGAGGTGAACAGTAACGATGGCGAACTGCAACACATTCGTTCCCACTCGAGGCGACAGTGGCCCCAGTGAGGGCGTTCAACGCTGGACGTGCCACGGGGTGTAATTTCGGGCCCCAGGACCAATAAGAAAGAACCCGCGGCGTAAAATCAACATTTCGGATGGGGCCGAGGCCGCCCAGATGATCTCAGGAAAGGATGCCGTTGCACACTATGCGACCTACGCGGCGTCTGAAACCAATGTCCACGCCATCAAAACACGACCTCTCCGCAAGTCACGTGTCCATCTTGGGCGCATCCTCTCCGATCCCCCTCCACTTCTGGATTGATGGCTTGGCATGGGTGCCCAGGGGGATTTGTTGTGTTACGCCGCCTTCGCGGGCCAGCTTGCTGACCGTGGGCCACCGCGGATGGGGGAACAACGCCTTCGAATCAGGCGGGCGCAGCATTCTTTTTCCTCCTGCTCGTCCTGTCCCGTCCGCTAGTCCTCCTTCCTCCCCCCTTCATCCTTCCCCTCTCCTCTCTCTTCGTCCCCTTCCTCGTCCCTGTGTCCCCCCCGCTGTTTCTGCTGTTCCTTTTCCTTGCGCTACATCCCATGCTCCCAATATCCCGCCCCCCCCATCCTCCTCCTCATCATCCTCCTCCTCCTCCTCATCCTCCGCGTCCTCCTCGTCCTCATCCTCGTGAGTCTTCCTCGTCCTCCTCCTCCTGTTCGCCCTCCCCCTCCCCCCCCCGCCGCCTCTCCATTATGCTCCTCCTCCCTTCCTCTTCGTATTCGCCTTCCTCCTCCCCCTCGTCGTCGTCGTCCTCCTCTTATTTTGTCCCTCCTCCTCCTCCTCCTCCCCTCCCTCTCCTCCTTCCTCCTTCCGCGACGCCCATCTTTGCATGCCTGTCTGAACCGAGCGTTTCGTCTCTGGATGTGTAGTGCGTAAGGCGAGGCGAGAGCCAACGGAACATGCAACTGCGCCCTGGCATCGTTGCACCCTCACCAGGAAGCCTCTGGCACTGTGGGATCTCAGGGAACAGCCTTGCTCTGGCCAGGTCGGTGCCCAGGTCGTAACTGCAACGAGGCAGGGCCGATCGCGGTCGTTCCCTGCACGTCAAATCGATAGTGGTGCCCGCGGGCTACATTGCCCCTTGCGTTAGGTGTCAATACGTGCCAAGGCTAGTCAGGGGATGGTCGCTAGGTTAGGTCGCATTGCTCGCGGCATCCTTCGCCGCTCCCCGACCGCGCCCCCCAGCGCCACGGCGCCTCCGTGGAGTTTGGAGGGCCGCACGTGCATGTCTCCTCGCACATTCCACGTGGCCAAGGCAAGCGATTCGCCCAGACCGTGCCCCACTTCACTACGCAATATTTCGCTCGTCGCTTTCTCCGCCCTCCTGTCCCCATCCCTTCCCTTCCGCCGCAGTTGGTTCCCCATTCGCCCCGTCCCCGTCATTTCGATTGTTTCGCTCTTCGCCTTCCCGTCGGCCCCCCTTCGGTTTTCCTCCGCCCCTCCTTCCTGCCCCCACCGCCCGCTGGTTCGTGCATGTCCCCCCCGCCAATTCGCTTCCACGGGATTCCGCCTCGCTCCCCCCGCTTTGTCGTCATCCACCCCTCCCTCTTTCTGCTTCCTTCCCGTCGCCTCCCCGCCCGTCTTCCCTATTTACCCCCGTTGGTTCGTTACCCTCCCTCGCTTCGAGCCCCCCTCCCCTTCTCAGCGCTCTCTATATTTGTTATGGCCATCCGCGTCCGTCCCATTGGTCTCTCTTTCTGTTCTTGATGCCCGCATCATGCGATGCCAGTGCTTCTGTTGTGTCCGCAGCGGGTGCTGGCGGATGGTGGCGGCGGCGGTGGCGTTGCATGCGTCGTGGCCGAGGTTCCGCCGCGGCATTGCCTTGCTTCGGTTCCTCTGTTCTTTATTCCCCTCCCGTTGCCATTTTGGTTCAAACCATGTGTGTTGTTGCTAGCGGCGCGAGGGCGTCTGCAAAGCGACTGTGGTCGCCCCGGCGCTTATCAGCGAGCGGCGCCGTGTGCGCCCGCAGACTGATGCCGACGCGCACGACGAACGCCGTGCACGCCCACCACCACGCGCCCTCATGGACGCCGTCGGCGGGATGCCGACCACTTGGCTGTGACCAACTGCCTCGCGCATCTTGCGAATCCGCGGCGCACGGCGCACCAGCGCGCAGGTTGGCTGCCCATGGGGTGCCAGTCCAGCGACGCTGGGCCGCGCGGGTGGCTCGAACAACCCGACCCCGAACATTGCGACGGAGCGCAGCTAGGCGAATCTGGCGCCCACCGCTGGCCCGAGCGAGAAACACCAGTAGCGCAAGGGCGATCGCCGCGGCGGGCGCCGACATCGACGCCGAACAATGTTGCGGTAGGCCGACCGATTCTTTCATTGCCCGACAATTCATGTCGTGGCTGACGCGGGCGTCGCGGCAATGGCCCGCGCGGCAGGCGCCGCGATCGCGATTTAGATCGCGGCGATGCAGTTGAACAGCGGCGTGTCGAAACGTGCCAGATGTTAACTATGTCGCCCGCGTCGCGGCGACAAGTTGGACGAATGACGTCGCAAGAGCATCGCCGAATAGCAGCGTTGGGTGGTAGCCGAAGCACGCGGCCCGTAGCCCGCGCAAGGGAACCTTGCGCGGCCAGCGCGTGGATCTAGCGGCGCTGCTGCCGCGAATGGTGCGAGCGTGGTGTCGGGTGCTTGCGTGGCGCGGCAGATGCCCAACGCCGCTGCGCGGTAGTCGCGGTAGTGCGCCACAGGGACGCGGGGCAAGGTGTCAGAAATCCAACATCCGCGTGCCGTAGGTGGGGTGGTGTGGTGGTGTTTCTGGTCCAACTATTGCTTTAACGCATCGGGCTTATGTTCTAAGAGCATTGTCTTTGTTACAATCACATCTTGGGGTTCTAAGAGCATGTCGTGGTAGGCCTATAGAAACGCCAGGAGGGTCGGTCCCTGCTCAACATTGCGTCGCGAAGTCACCCCAGGTGTACAACCCTCAGAGCAGCGAAGGTGAGGAGGCGGGTCGAGGAGCAGGAGGAGACAGGGGTGAGAGCTTGCCCATGTGCGTTCGGGCTTCTGTTTTACGAAGGACCGTGGCCGTCAAGAAATTCTCTGCGCCGGGGGTCTGGGCAGAAACCTCTCGCCAGAGAGACCTAGCGCGGGCCCATAGGTCGGCGGGTCACAGGGGGGGGTCCTGCAGGACCTGAGGATGGGAAGGCGATCTCAAGTTGAGCCTTCACTGTTTGGTGTTCTCGTCCTTTCGGCCCCACCCCTCAGAGGCATATCTTCGAACGTGCGTGAGAGCCGACCCCGAACCAAGCCTCGGGGTCGGTTTCGGAGGTCGCTGCGGCGGTCGCGGCGGCCACAAATGGGGGCAAGGTTCTTATCAAGGAGTGGCGTGCCGCCTCCCAGTCTCCTCCCCGCTCTGCGATTTAGACGGGGCTCATTGTTAACAGTTATCGACTGAGAGTTGCCGTGCCAGTCTATGTCCAACATTTGCAGTTTTTTGTTGGTTAGAGGTCGATTCTCACGCGACCGTTAGGGGACCTTTTGGGACCGGCGGACGCGGTCGTCGTTGTCCTTGTCGTCACTGTGCGCGCCGCCCATCTCGTGTCCTCCTCCCGTTGTCGCGGACGCGGGGGGCCCTCGCCTCACCTCTCGTCGTCGCGGGCGTCATCGTCGTCAACGTCGTTGCCATCCTCGTCGTCGTGTCCGTCGGCAACCACATGCGCCATGCGAGCCCCGCCCATGCAGGTCAGATTTCGGAAACGCTGGCTGGTGTTCAGGCGTCGCAGGAGGCCTGTAGTCGGGCGAAGAGAATTATGCACATGCACCGATCCTGGCAAGGCCCATCCTTGACCCAGGATCGGTGCATATGCCTTCCTGGCCAAGGCAGGAGGGCGCATGCACCGATCATGGGCTCAGGATGGGTCTGGCCAGATTCGGTGCATGTGCATAGTTCTCTTTCCTCTATGTAGGGGGACACGCCTGACCCAGAGCTGGCCCTCCACGAAGCCTCCCGAGCCTGCCGCAGCAGGGGGCGGAGCGACCAGCGAAGAGGAGGCAGAACGGCGGCGGGTCTGCTGGCGGAAGGTCGGCAGAAGGCGGCGGAAGCAGAAGCGGAGGTTACTCCAGATTTCGTAGTAAAAGGGAGGGGGTCTGGACCCTCCAAGACAGGTCATTTCAGACCTCCCCCGTGGGAGAACCCTCCAAAACATCGTCCCCAGACCGCCCCAGGCCCTCCAAGATAGCCTGGAAGAGACCCCCCCCGAAATGAGACCCCCCTCCCTTTATTACGAACTCTGGAGTAATATATTTGGGGCCCAGATTTCCCGAGATCGGCCAACTCGTCGGAGACAGTTGAGTGGCGGGGGATAACGGGGTCGGCTGCGCATAGATTCGCCCGCGCAAGGTCGCGCGTGAGCGCTCTCGTTTCCCGTGTAGCTTGCCGGGCTGGCGGCCCGCGTAAACCACCGCGCAAGGTCGCTATGTTTCTTCGCGTGAGACTCAGTATCATTTCACTTATCTCCATCCCCATCCCCACCAAGCCATGGCATCTCAGCCCAACCATTCCACCACCCAGTTGGGGATAGGCCCTTCGAAACCCGAAGGGAACAGCGGGCAGATCGGTTAGTGGGGCCAGTGCCATACCAGGGGGGGTGGGGGTCGGCTAAATGATGCTCACCTTAGCTGCCCTGCTATGCCTGTGCTGAAACGCAACACGCACCGTGTTCCAAACGTCCGTGTTGACACGCTGCGTGTTGGTTCGGCACGTGTTGGCCCACGCCTGGGCAACGTATCGCGCCAGGCCTCCGCCCTCAGTCTACGTGTTGAGCTCCGTGTCTTTGCGGGTTGCGTGTTGCGCATAGGGGCAGCTAAGATGCTCACTTCTTCTCATCGCTCAAGTGGCAGCCCCCCCCCCCAGCTGGCGCAGGCGCTGGCGCCCAGCCCGCCTTGCTACGGCCCGCGAGCTGCAGCGGCGGCGCGTGGGCGCGCAGGCCGACCAGCGCCGCCGGCCGCCGCCGCCAGCCGCCGCCGCCGCCTACGACGATGCCGACGCCTACCCCGACGACGACCACGCCGACGACAACGCTGACGTCGACGCCGACGCCGACGACGATGACGACTCCGACGACCACGACGACCACGACGATTCCGACGACGACGATGACGACGATGCCAACGACTCCGACGCCGACAGTGACGACGAAGACGACGACAGTGACGACGACGACAACGACGACGATTTCGATGCCGACGACGAAGCCTTCGACGATGCCGCTGGTGACGACGCCGCCGCAGACGACGACGCCGCCGCCAACGACGCCGACATCGACGACGACTTCGACGCCGCCGCCGACGACAGGGACGACGCCGCCGCCGCCGACGGTGACGACGACGACGACGACGACGACGACCAAGCCGACCACAATACCGACGCCGATGCCGACGACGATTCCGGCGATGACGATGACAACGTTTCCGACGACGACGACGCAGCCGACGACCCTTGCGACGTCGACGACGACGCCGACGACAACGAGGATGCCGACCGAGACGACGGAGACGTTGACGATGCCGCGACAACGACGCCGCCGCCGACGACGACGCCCACGACGGCAACGCCGCAGCCAACGACTAGGACGAAGACGATGCTGATGTCCATGACGCCGCCGCCGACGACATCGACGACGACAACGACGACGATAACGCCCTCGCCGACGACGACGACGCAAACGCCGACTAGGATGCCGACGACGACGGCAACGCCGACGGCGACGCTGGCGACGCCGACGACGCCGACAACGACGACAACGATGCCGACGACGATGACGACGCCGCCGCCGCCGACGCCGACGACGTCGACGAACGACGCCGACGCCGACGACGAAGATGACGACGATGCCGACGACGACTCCGACGCCGTCGATGCCGACGCTGACGACCACGCCGCTGCGGACGACGGCGACGTCGCCGACGACGACGACAACGCCGACGACGACGTTGTCGACGACGACCCCGACAACGCCGCCGACATCGACGCCGACGACAACGACGCCGACGACGATGCCGACGACGCCGACGCCCACGACGCCGACGGTGACGACGACGACGACGACGACGCCGACGCCGCCGCTGCCGACGACGCCGCCGACGACGCCAACGCCAGCGCCAACGCCAGCGCCGTCGACGCCAACGACGACGCCAACGCCGACGCCGACGACGATGCGGGCGGTGACGCCGACGCCGACGGAGACGACGACGATGGCGCCCACGACGATGGTGCCGCCGCCAACGACGACGCCGCTGCCGACGACGACGACGACGGACACGACGACGAGAACGATTCCGACGACGACACCGACAATGCCGACGGCGAACAAATGCAGTGGCTACCCCTGCCAAAAACGACTCGGCTTGCCTCCAGGCTGCTCTGGGTTTCTTGGGGTTCGATGGTTTTGCTATGTAAGGCGTGACGCTCCCACACCAAAAATCAGTGGACTTCCTGGGGTCTCAGGGATGGGTTTATTGTGCAACGATTCTTGTGGTCGAGCCTCTACTGTATGATGATGCCGACGACGACGCCGACGACGCCGATGACGATTCGGCCGACGACGACCACTCCGACGACGATGCCGACGCCGACGTCGCCGACGATGCCGGCGACGACGACGATGCCGACGGTGACGACCACGACAACGACGACGCCGACGCTGACGACGACGACGATGCCGACGACGACGATGACGACGCCGCTTACGGCGACAACGACGCCGCAGCCGCCGTCAACGCCGCTGCCGACGACGACGACGACGACGACGACGGCGACGGCGACGACGGCGACTGCAACGTCGGTACCGCCGATGACGCCGCCGCCGACTCCGGCGATGTCGCCGACGACGTCGCCGCTGCCGACGACGACGACGCCGCCGCTAACGACGACGACGACTGCGACGCAGTCGACGTCGATGCCGACGTCGACGACGACGACGTTGACGATGACTCACTCTTTGACGATGCCGACGACGAAGCCGACGTCGACGACGACGACGACGCCGCCACCGACGATGAAACCGATGACGATGCCACCTCAGACGACGACGACTGCAACAACGACGACGACGATGCCGACGACGGCGATGCCGACACAGACGACGACGACGACGACGACGATTCCGAGGACGACAACGACGACGACGTAGACACCGACATCGACGACAAAGACGACGACGCCAACGCCGACAGCGATCGCGCCGACGTCGATGCCGACGCCGACGATGCAGACGACGACCATGACGACGCTCACGACCACGATGTCGACGACGACGCCGACAATGCCGACGCAGACGATGACGATGTCGAAACGAACCCGAAGACGCTGACGACGCCGAGGCCGACGACGACTACGACGACGACGAAGACGGCGCTGGCGACAGTGCCGACGCCGACGGCGCGGCCGCCGAGAACGACAGCGAAAACGCCGACGCCGCCGCCGCCTCCGACGACGACGGAAGACGCCGATGGCAACGACGTCGACGACGCCGACGCCGTCGACGATGCCGACTCCGACGGTGACGACGACGACGGCGACGACGCCGACGACAACGACGACGACGATGGCGACGACGACGACGTCGACAATTCCGCCGACGGCGGCGCCGCTGCCGACGACGATGCCGACGACGACGTCGCCGACGTCGGCGCAGACGACGAAGCTGCCGACGACGATGCCGATTTTGCCGGCGCCGTCGACGGCGACGATTGTCGCCTTGACGACGAAGTCGATGCCCATTGTGATGCCGTCGACGACGACGCCGACGACAACGACGCCGACGCAGACGACGACGACGATGCCGACGATGCCGACGATGCCGACGCCGACGACGGCGACGCCGCCGCCGACGACGAGGACGCTGACTACGATTCCGACGATGCCGATGACGCCGACAGCGACGACGTCGACGACAACGACGACGATGCTGACGACGACGCCGCCGCCGACGACGCCGCCTACAACGACGACGATGCCGATACCGCCGAAGAGGACGACGTCGACGACGACGATGATGTCGACGACGACGACAAGGACGACGACGACGCCGACGACGACTACGCCGACTTCGACGACGACGACGCCGACGATGACGACGACGGCGACGATGCCGACAGCAACGACGAAGACGATGCGGATAACGCCGACGACTCTGACGGCGACGACTGCGACGACGATGCCGACGACGGTGCCGACGCAGACGACGACGTCAACGCCGACGGTGACGACGGCGACGACGGGGTGCGACGACATGCGATCGTGGTGCGGACGAGTTGCGATCGCATGTTAGAGCTAACAATCTTCATTTCCGCCGCTGCAACCGTAGTTACATTGCATACCCTCCGTTCGTATAACATACGGTGGGGGCGTTCGTTAAGGAATGGGCTGAGGAGGCTTCAGACCCTGGGGGGTTCCTTATCCAATGGGGGCGGCGGTGATATCCATGGCCGATGCACGATAGGAGTTCTGGCTTCCAGACCCTGGATTCCTGATCGAAGGGTTCCTTGTCCAATGCCCCCACCGTTGGGATGGCTCCAGGCGTGTGGGCAACCGAGCCGCAGGAGGCCCTGGGCCCCGACCCCGCGGGCCGAGTGTTCGCTCACGGCGTGGCGGCGGGCTGGCGGCTCGCGGAGCTGGCCGCCGCGGCGGCTGCAACCCCCGCGCCTGGCCTGGCGCGAGGGGCCTCCCTCAACGGTGCGTCCCTCGATGGAGGTGTGGACCCGTTGCGCGGCGAGTCCCTCCCTTGCGGAGGCGTGGACCCGCTGGGGAAGGTCCCGCCGAGGGGTGCAGTGCCAGCGGACACTGGAGTGCGGCTGGGGTCCCACGTGATCACCAAGGAGTCGGTGGTGCAGGCTGCCGAAGGTGACGGCGCGCCTCATGTGGAGCACGTTGCTGTCGAGCAGTTGCAGACCCCGCTGTTGCGCGGCAGGGACCCGTCCAGCGTGATCAGCAAGGAGGCGGTGGTGCATGCTGCCGAAGGCGACGGCGCGTTCCTGGTGGAGCACGTTGCTGTCGAGCAGGTGCAGACCCCGCAGGTGGGCTTCAGGGACCCGTTCGAGGACGTGATTGAATATGAGCAGTCCAACGGTATCAGCAATGAGGCGGTGGTGCAGGCTGCCGAAGGTGACGGCGCGTTCCTGGTGGAGCACGCTGCTGTCGAGCAGGTGCAGAACCCGCTGTTGGGCTGCAGGGGCCCGCCCAACGTGATCTGCAAGGAGGCGGTGGTGCTGGCTGCCGAAGGTGACGGCGCGTCCCCCGTGGAGCACGTTGCCGTCGAGCAGAGACAGACCCCGCTGTTGGGTTTCAGGGACCCGTTGGAGCACGATGACGAGACGCACCCCTGCATGCTGTCAGGCTCCCCATGCGAGGCCGCGGAGCTCTTCGACCCGTTCGACGTGCCCGAGTCTGGTGACGCGGAGCCCGTAGGCAAGCAGGCAAAGGCTGTGCACGGCGCAGCGGTGCCCAACGCGGCACGCTTCAGCAAGCAGGCGGCGGCGCAGCACGGACCCAGCGACGATTTCACGGAGCTCTTCGCCAGCTTCGAAGAGATGCTCGTGGGCGGCGCATCCATGGGCTTCGCCAGCCAGGCTGACGTGCAGATGACTCGGGATCTGGAGCGCGCCCGCCTCGAGAGGGCGCTGGAGGCCCAGGTCCTGATCTTCGAATCGCTCGAGTCGGAGCGCGCCCCGCCGCGGCTGCTGGACGCGCAGCGCGAAGCTGTGAGTGCGGCGCTCGTGGCCCTGGAGCACGCCAGGATACAGGGCGACTCGTGAAGGAGGTCGTGGGCTTCGCGCCGCCGCGCCTGTGCCTGGCCCTCTCGCCCTCCTTCCTTCTCTTGGGAATTTGTAAGCATGATCACGAGGTCTCGCGAGGCCTCTCGAAGAGTTTAAAAAATGCCCCCACCGTAACATTGGGCGCCCCAAGAGTGAATGCCCTGTCTTGACGAATTTCCGACCCTAGTTTCAAAGTGCCAGCGGAAAGGACACTAACGCATTCCATGTTTTGACACGGAGACACGGATATATGCTCGCTGCTCATCTCCCGCCTCGCAGCGTGGTCACAAAGAGTCGCGTGGTTTTTTGCTAACATTAAAATCGTATTGTAGTTTGACTGGCACTTCAGGGTTTTGCCAGGGCTGCGGCTGATGAGGACGTTCATGATCCGTGCAGCGCGGGCGAAAAGCAAAGACGCGATCAATATGGCAATCTGCATATCCACGTTTACAATCACCGTTTACAAACATACGCAGTTACATAGCATACACTTCGTTCGAAGCCCCACAGCAGATGACGCCCAAGAATTGATTGAATGCCCTGCCTCGACGACATGATGACCCCATGTGTTCCCTAGGCGTCCGTTGCAGGATACTATTGTTTATACCATAAATCAAACCAGCCCTCAGGGCCTGGGCTGGGACCGCGGCCGAGGAGGAGGTGGGCGGCCCGCTTGTCGCAGAAGGAACGCAGGTATGCCGGTGCTCGCGGACATGCGCGTAGACACGCGCGATGCTCACCCCCTGCCGCGCAGCGTGGTGACAGGGGATCGCGCCTCGACGCAGCTCTGACTTTTTTCCAGAACGTTGCGGCGTCGTGGCGTCTTTTCAAGTGCGTTTCGCGGAGCTCTGATTCCATCGTGGTTTCATTATGGTTTGAATTTGCTAGAGCCGAACATAAACATACTTCCCTCTATCGCTCAGTTGCAACTGCCGCCGAGCATGCTCGAGCAAACTCGAGGCGCCCCCAATGCTTTGTCGATTTGATTGTTTCGTTGCGAAAAATCCACGACGGAGCTGCCTGCCTGCCCGATTTCGCGCCACGGCTGCGCCCCCGCCCGTCCGCAGTCGCCGAGGAGCCGGGTCCACTTCGGGAGCAGGCGAGGCAGGGCGGCGGGATGCCCCGGGCCGCCCGTGCCCGATCCCCCGCCACCGCCACCTGCGCCGCGGCATTTGGTGGGCAAGTTGGCGGAATACGGGCAGTGCGAGCAGCCTTGCGGCGACGCCATGCACCGCGCGCCCACTTTGACCCTAGCAAGGTGGCGGAGAAGAAAGTGGACGCGGTTGAGCATGTTCCGGAAAATTGGCCGCAGCGGTGTTTCAGTCTGTGCAGCAGCGGCAGACTGAGGGCGCCGGTGGCGCCGCCGCCACAGCGGAACACGCGGCCCAGAGTAGGGCGCAACAGCGTACTCAACCACCCGCGCCACCATTCATGGACCCTGAGTTCGAGTTCGACTTCGGCCAGCTCCGCGGGGAGACTCTGGACGAGGCTCGCGAGCACGCGCCAGCAATGAAAGCGGTTTTGAATGAGGACGGCACCCTCGCCGCGGAGACGGCCAAGATGCAGGCGTCGCATACCAAATTCTTTACGCTTCGCGTATCCCCACCAGCCCATCTCACAGCAGCAACTCTCGCGAAGCATGCCGACAGTCGTGTTTTTTTTCAGGTGTGTGTCCGCTTGGCCCCGCATATCTCCCCTGTTCCTCCTTCCTCCCGCCTCCTTGCACATCCTCCTTGTGGGGGGGGCGGGAGAAGGGCGAGGCGGAGGAGGAGGGAGAGAAAGCGCTCCTCGTGGTTTGAGTCGTTTGGGGTTTCTCGTCCTGGTGTGAGTCGTTCGGGCCCTTCTTCCTGGTGTGAGTCGTTCGGGCTCTTCGTGGTGTGAGTCGTTCGGGCTCTTCGTCCTGGTGTGAGTCGTTCGGGCTCTTCGTGGTGCGAGTCTTTCGGGCCCCTCGTCCTGGCGTGAGTCGTTCGGGCTCCTCGTGGGGCCTCTTGGGGGCCTCTTGGATGCTCTTGGGGCCTCGTGGGGGCTTCTTGGGGGCCTCTTGGGGGCCTCTTGGGGGCCTCTTGGCGCCTCTTGGGGCCTCTTGGGGGCCTCGTGGGGGCCTCTTGGGGGCCTCTTGGGGCCTCTTGGGGGCCTCTTGGGGGCCTCTTGGAGGCTTCTTGGGAGCCTCCTGGGGGCCTCTTGGGGCCATCTTGGGGCCTCTCGCGACCCCCTCAGAAGCGCAAAGGAGCGCTGCCCCCTGAGAAGGACAAAATGAGCCCAAAACCTCGGTACAATCAATGATTTTGCTATGAAGGAAGGTGAGCGCCTCCCCCTCAGGAGGCCAAAATGGGGCCAAAACCGTAGTAAAATCAATGATTTTGGCTTCAACGAAGAGGAGAGGAGGGACCTATCTCCGCCCCCCCGTCGGGGCCAGAATCCTCGTGAGGGTCGTCGTTTTTTAGCCCTCCCAGGAGTCGAAAAAGACCCCTCCAACCACCCGCGAAACCCCCTCTCCAGGTCCAGGGGGAGGGGGTAGGGGGAGGGGTGAACCCCTCCCCGAAGGGGAAGAAGGGGGGGTGAGAACACAGAGAGAGCTTCCTAAACCACTCACGCCCAAAGGGCTGGTTGGATTTGCGCAGCGCGCTGTGGTCAAGGCGAAGGCTCGGGCTGCAGGCGGCGCGGCCCCGCGGGCAGCGCAGCTGGTTGAAGCAAGGGAACCAGTCGGGCGGTTGTCCCGCAGCGCGCGGTGGCAGCAGCATCTGGACAGCATCTGGCTGCAGTCGGCCGAGGCAGTGCTGGGCGGAACTTCGGGGGTCGTGGTCCCCGCGCCCGAGAAGCCGCGCGAGTCTGCGAAGTGGGCCGGCGAGGGATCTTCTCGCCAGTCTCAGGAGGTGCACCGACGCGTGCAGCGCGGTTCCGCGGGCGGCCGCAACGCGTCGAGCTGCCCGCGGAAGAAAGCGAAGGAGGGCGCTGCGGAGGGCGAGCGGCTGATTGCCCTGGCTCGACGCCGCGACGGGGTGACGCTCGACTCGCGGCAGCACCTCGACCGCGTCAGGGCGGCCCAGAGGAGCGAGGAATGCAGCGCGAGGGCCGCGCAGAGGAAGCGGCGCAAGTGCACTATCGCCGCCGAGGATCTCGCGAGGATGAGTCCACGCGCGCATTTGCAGGAAGGGGCCTCTTGCAGAATCTGCGCGGCGCCCGTGGTCCGCGTGCGGCGCTCGAAGCCTGTGTTGCCAGATGGCGCGGAGAAGCGCCCGTCCCTGGCCGACTCGGTGCCCGCGCGGATGCGGCCTCGCAAGACATGTTCATGGAATCGCTGGCGCACCGCTGCCAGCGTTGCCGTCGCCCCGTGGCCGCGGGCCACCGGGGCCCGCCGTTCGAGCTCCTCGGGGGGCAATCGGTTGTTTATCGCCAGCCAGTTGTTGCCAGTCTTCGGTTGCGTCGATGGCGCCAGCCAGACGCGCGGCGCTCGCCACGCGGGTGCGCAGTAGACAATAATAGCGGGAGCCTTCCATCGCAGAGCTCGGCAGGTCGCGGCCCGGGGCGCCGCGCGCCAGCGGGGCAAGCTGGCTTTCGGGAACAAGCCCGGCGGCCTCACCGCGGAGGTTGAGTCCGACGCCCACGCGTTCTTGTCGCGGAGGGAGCCATGCGCCAAGGTCGGCAGGGACGAGGAAGGGGCCAGTCCAGCGTCCATACAGTGTTTCGACGTCTGGCTCGGCGTCAGGGAGAGGGGCAATTTGCGGAATTGCCACCCGCGAGGAGTGGGCGGCCACGCGGGCTCGGAAGCACGGAGACGGCGCGCCGCCCCCGCGAGGGGGCGAGGAGCCCTGGGGGCCTATGCGCGAGCAGGTTTTCCAGCAGGGATCCAACGTGGCGAGCTGCACATTTGGCGCTGGTGTAGAAGATCCCGTTCAGCATCACCGTTCTGCCGCGCCCAAGGAGAACTCGCGCGCCCCGGAAGACCTGCCGTTAAACGCGGAGACGGGGCAGAAGGGCAACACCATCACGAACGCCAGCTTCATTGATTCTGGGGCAGGCTGGGGGAGAGGATCCCGCGCGCCATCTCGGCCCGCGCAGACGCAGCGCCCGGTCATGTGGTGACGGATGAACAGCGCGGGGAATCGTTGGGAGCGCTGGCGCTGCGCTGCCTGCGACTGGATCGCGGAGCGCTGCAGCCGCGGCGGGCGCTCGCGCCGAACGGCCCCATGGCCCGCGCGACGTCGCCGCCCAGGGACGCCGACGCCGCGGGGAAGGCTGCGATCGGGGACGCAGCGCCCCTGGGCGAGGGCGAGACCAGAGGGGGGGGGGGGGGGGGGGGCGACCTCGAGGGCGCCGTGGGCGGCCTGGAACTCGGGGCGCTCGCCCTCCCGGAGCGCGCCCGCGGCCGGCGGCGCGCAGAGGCCGTCCGCGCGGCGGCGCCGCCCGCGCGGGCCGAGGCGGACGCTGGCCAGCCCCGCGCGGGCGCCCCGGGGGGCGGCGCGGAGATCCTGCGGGTCGCGCCCGCGGGCGGCGGCCAGGTCGCTCTCGGCCTTGGCCGCCCGGGCCCGTTCCTCCGGCTCGCCCGCGAGGGCCTGCCCGGGCGATCCGCGCGTCTGGCTCCGCCGCGCGCGGTTTCTGCTCCTGGCCCCCCCCTCGTGCGAAGCCCACGCCCCATTCCTTTCTGCCTCGTTCCATCCGCCCCTTCCCCTGCTCACGGGGCTGCGCCAGCTGCGCGCGGCAGGTGCGGAAGACATACCCCAGGGGGCACGATCGAAGAAGAAGAAGGCGGGTATCGAGGGTTCAGGATACACGTGTTGGATGGCATGCGGGCAGATAAGAGCGAAATGTATTAGCACGATTGTTGTTGTGGCTGTTGTTGCCGCTGTTGCTGTTGCTGTTCGTGTTGTGGTTGTGGTTGCTGCTGATGTTGTGGTTGTTGTTGCTGGTGTTGTCGGTGTTGTTGTTGTTGGTGTTGTTGTTGTTGGTGTTGTTGTTGTTGTTGTTGTTGTTATTGTTGTTGTTGTTGTTGTTGTTGTTGTAGGTGTTGGTGTTGGTGTTGTTGTTGGTGTTGGTGTTGCTGCTGCTTCCTCGCAATGTATTGGGGAATCGCGTTCTCGCGCGGGGCGTCCTCGCAATGTGTGCATCCCGCGCTCGCGTGCTATTTCCATGCAATTGATTGAAACGCCGCGCCCCCGACACTCAGGAAACTGGCTCTCGCTTTGTTTTTTGGGGCTCGACCTGGCCGCCTGGGCCCGCCTTCCCGACCCGCCCGTTAGGTTCTTCCCGCCCGATCTGCTTGTGTGGTTCTGCCACGTGCTTTCTGCTCCGAGCCCACGTCTTGCTATTCTCCATCTTGCTCCATCCTTCTCCTTCCCCCTTGTCCGTAGAACGGCGCCGCCTGCGCCAGCGAAAGTTGGGTGAACTCGGCGGAAGCCAGCGGAAGAAAACAATTGTTTCCTAAGAGATTGCAAGGTTTGGGGGTTCAGGTTTTTTTGAGCCCGCCAAATGACGTGGGGGAGTGGGAAAACGGGCACGTTGTCGGCCCTGGGGGGCCCTTCTACGGCCCCTCGAGGCGCAACACGCGCATGTTTTTCCACCGCTAATTTGTCGCCCCCTATTGATTGGTGAGACGAGTGTCTCGCTTCACTTGCGCGGCTGTCCAACACAGGCCCCCGCACCCCCTCACCCAGATGCGTCCTCGTCTCCCTCTCCGTCTTGACATCCCCCTCTGAGTAGTGTTTCTCCTCATCATCCTCCTTTTCCGTTTCCCGATCTTTTCACCCACTCTCTTCATGCTTCCTTTTTTCCACTCATCACCTCTCCTCATCCCGTCTCCTCGTCCTCCCCCCCCGCCCTGGCGCTGAGGCTGCCCGAATCCCTGCAGAGCTCGTTTGCAGAGCCACTCCCGATGGAGAAGACTACGTCTACTGCGTGGACCTTGGATGGGGCAAGCGTCAGCATCGTCTGACCGATCCCCATACCCACTAGGCCAAGGTATCTCTGCCCCACCAGCCCAACACGCATGTGGGGATAGGTCCCGCGAAGCCCGATTAGAACAGCAAAGGTCCCCGACTCGGCCGGTGGGGCACAGACCATGCCAGTGGGGATGGGGATCGGTTAAACGTTGCTTGACGCGACAATTTGCGTCCAGAACCCCTCCACCTCGTCCGCTTCGCGAGCTTCTCGACGGCGACCTTGAAGAGGCCTATTCGAGTCCAGTCTGACGTGCTCAAGCCCCTCCTCGCCTCATGCCGTGCTATCGCCGTGGGCTGGAGCTTGCATCAGGGTTCCGAGCACCGAGTGAGCCTGACATGACCAGGCTCTGTACGTACACCGTGAGTCCGCCTCGATGGACGGGGCCATGAGCGGGGCGTTCCCTGCAGTCAAGACGCTGAAAACACGACCATTTTGGGGCCAGGAGTGGCTCTGGTCTTTGGCCCGATCCTTAGATCTAGTTCGGGGAGCCGACTCGTGAATGAGGCTCGCAGTGACCTGACGAGCCCCTCTGTTCCTTGATTGGTGCTCCGTGTGGCAGCGCGCTGACTGTATAGGTCACCCGCGGTGGTGAGAAGATGATCGCGCTTCGCGCGTCGCGGTCTGGGATGGGGAGCTGCCGGACGGCGCGAGGGCGCGAAGATGACCGTGCGCCGCGCATCGTGCCAAGGGAGGGAAGACCAGCTGGACCCGACATTTGGCGTTTATTGAACGGCCGTGGGCGTGTACTAGCCTGCCCTGTTTGATTCCTTCTTTTGGGTGCGTTTAATTACCAACGGCTTCGCGTGTCGGCGTGATTCTCATCGGGTGTTGCCAGAAGTGCCCCTGGCCCGAGGTGCCCCTAGGATTTCCGAGGCTGCCCCCACGGCCTCCAGAGTACCCATCGCGAGGCCCAGAGGGTCCCAGGGGCTTCGGAGTGGAGCGAGAAGCTGGGGGCACCTTGGGCCTGGGTACTTCAAGCAACATCCGATAGTATGGGGGTGGATGTGCTGCCCTCTACTCGAAATCCCTTCTCAATCGACCACCCCCAAACAAAGCGGACCCCCCTCCAAATGCGACCTAATATTATCGACCCCTCTCTTCGACGGGGCGCCTGAATGAATTGGACCCCCTAAGCTCCAACCCAAAGAAAGCGCCCTAATAAACCCGACACCCCCAGTTACAAAATAAGGCGCCCTAAAAAACCGGACCCGGGGGACGATTCACAAGGAATTTGGAGTATCGTGGGGCGCGGTGCGCGAAGGTTTTTGCTTCGCGGGCGACACTGCACCGTGCAGCGTGCCGCGCCACAATTTCCACATCTACAGCTGAGGGCCCCGGCCCGCTCGCGCCAGCCTTCCAGGCCCCGCCTCCCCAGCGGACTCAGGCGCGCCTTGCCTTGCCTTACCCAGGGTCAGGGAAAGACCCTTCGCCCCCTCGCTCTGATGTTGCCTCCCCGGGCCCTCTTGGGCGTCCGGGAGAGCTGAGGGGGCCGGGCGAGGAGCAGGAGAGGAGGGTGCACAAGGAGCAGCAGCAGGAGGCGGAGGAGGAGGACGAGGAGGAGGAGGAGGAGGAGGAGGAGGAGGAGGAGGAGGAGGAGGAGGAGGAGGAGGAGGAGGAGGGGGGGGAGGAAGGAGAGGAAGATGTGCGGCTGCAGCTGCAGTGTGGAGCAGA